TCAAAATGAATTAAATGCAACGCTAAACTTTGTGGAACACTTCTTTCTAAACCACATTTTGAGTCTTGTTTGTGGTTCCTTTATCTACATTACAAATTAGTACTTTCAAGCTACACCGGCGAGTCACCCAATACACCGCAACATAAAGTTGTCCATGCGTAAACAGAGGTTTTTTCAACAACCCTACACAGGACAATGACTGTCCCTGACTTTTGTTTATTGTCATAGCAGATGAAATCATAGTGCCGTTTGGTAGCCCAGTTTTTCGGCTTATCGGCTAACTTTTTCACCAAACACGTAATTTTTTATTTCTCGCGCTGAATTATGTAATAATAAGAAAAAGCAACGTTGAAGTTACATTTCTGGTTGTATTGACTGAAGTTACTATAGATATCATTTTAGTTATTTTTACATATAATTTTTTTCTTTATTTAATTAATAAAATATATTTTAAATATAATTTTTCAATACATCAGCAGAATCGGCTATTTCAGCCACTTCAATCAGAGTTATCAAACGGGCTCATAATGGGATATTGAAGCCTTTGAAATTTTGAAGGCAATGTAGCAGGTCAAGGACCCTTCCATGAAGTAAAATACTCTCCATTATTTTTATTGATTGATATACTTCGTAGTACTTGAAGGCCTTAAATGTCTAAATGTGCTTTACTTGTACTCATGACCAATACTTTTGGTTTATTCAAAATTACTTTTGAATAATTTGTAAGAAATACAGTGAAAGAGTGATTTTCTTTAACTTCAAAAATGCAACTCAGGCGTTAATTTTATGCTTTTTCCATTACCAGCCAATCCGTGCAGCGTAATAAAATTAATTAATCATATCTAAAAATATCACAAATAAATCTAAAAAGAAACTTGTGATACCCCCGGTTATGGGCATATCCAAACGAGGGCGGCATTTTATAAGCTCAATCCTATGTTGCACAAGAGAAAGATTGAACTATTTTACGTTTTAATGAGAAAGAAAGAAAGAAAGAAAGAAAGAAATATGTGTATTGGATCTATGATAATGTTTCTGTTTATAGACCCAAGAAGAAAACATGGATAAAAAATAAGGTAAAATGATTTCAAAAATAAAAATTAAATGGGAAACATGCATAAATAAAAACTTTGTGACATACAATTGAGTTGCACGTGTCACGGTGTAAGTGACCGAAACTGCCTTTGCCAAATCAGAAAATTCATTGGGAAATTTCATAGGAATTGTTTGAACTTTTAAAAAATAAAACATTTTAGTCAGAAAAAGTCACCAAATTGCATTCCAACGGTCACAGCGACAATAGCACCGATGGCGGCAATAGTGACATCGACATTGACATTCAAGAAGTGTGATTGACATACCAAATGAGTAGTGACTAGTGAAAAGGAGCGTCTTTATAATTTTTATATTTTGGCTTTTGGCGTTATCTTTCTTGATACTTTTATTAATAATATAAAAATTAAGTTATTTATTTTCTAAAAAACATTCAAACTTTATTCGAAAAAAATTTTAATGTCAACTAACAACTTGAGATTTTTAATAAAATAAATGTAAAAACGAAATTAGTCATGTAATAATAAATTGAGATTTTTCTTAAAGTGTTACTCAAAATAAGGTATAAGGACAAAAACATGACTAAGGTTAGCATAATTGAATGGTCACTAAAATAAAAATCAAACATAAATCAGTCACTAAAAGTTATTAATATAGTTACTTTGTACTACATAAGGGGTCACTTTTTATTCATCATCTATATTCAGTGATATACTAATATATGTCATTATTTCTGACAAATTAATATGGAGTATGAATTAATAAGAAATAACGACGATCATTAAAGTGAAGATAATGGATAAGAATATAATTTGTATACTAATGATTATAATAGTCACTTTTAATTATCATTTGTTCGATTTTACATTATAATGACCACTCATCGTGACTTTTACATAATTTCATCTTTATGTGTTTTCCGGTATTTCATCTCTATGACCACTCATAATGACTAACATAATTTCATCTTTATGTGTTCTCATAGTAATTTATTGGGGGAAAATGTGTTTTACAGAAAACCCTTATCAAGTTGTCATAACTTATTAGTTGCTTATTTGAACATTTACTATTTAACTATTCATTTATAGTACTCCGTAGTATATATTTATATGTTTAAGAGTTACATTTAAAATAAAAAATGAGAAACAAATGTTAAAACTAAGCTAATCAGAGAAGCCTGAACTTTAAAGGTGAAACAAGACTTTGCACTATCATTTTTTTCTTAAATTATACTGCCATATTTGACATTATCAAATATTAATACGACAATATTAATGTCATAATTGACAATAGTTTTAAACATGTCATTAATTACTCTTATTTGGGAAAAACAATAAGTTCTCATTTTGTAATTTCATATTATTATCTTAACATTTTCATGTATATCTTATTTCTATTTTATCTTATCTTTTTTATCTTTTTATCATATCTTATCTTTTATCTTTTTTATGATTCCTTTTCTTTTGACTTTGATATCAGGTATCGATTCATGTTAACCGACCCCAAAATCTGTTGAGACTAAGGTTTCAATGTTGTTGTTGGAATTTCACATTGAACAATTTTTATTTTTACAATAACTCTTGCAACTCATATACCAAACATAAAACTAGGAAAATTCTAGGGACTTCTCAAATTATACTCCCCTTATTTCATAATACAAGATAGGCATTGTTTTGGCGCAAAATTTAAGAAATAAATGATAAAGTGATTGTTTTACAATTCTGGCCTTCAAAAGGTGATAAAAAGTAAGATGAATCCATAAAGAGTAACAAGTAAAATGATAGATAAGGTGAGAAAATAAAAAATGGTGACGTTAAATTTGGGGAAATGTTCATAATTTTGGAACAGTTCAAAAAAACGTCTTACGAAATGGAGTATACACACTCCTACAAAATACTTTTATGGTCAAATCAATTTCAAAGTGATTTTCTTAAAAATGAATTCCACCTTTGATACGGCCATTATTAGAGCAATCCAACTTTCGGTCCCTAAATTTCATTTATATACTTTGTTTCATGACTAGATGTTATCTCTTACGGGAGGTCTCGGGTTCGAAACTCAATGGAGTGAGTTTCAGTCCTGATTACTCCAGGTCCTCCCAAACCCCCTCACCCAGACGCCCCCTCGAGTAAAAAAAAGTATTCAATTTGAACAGGTTAAAATATGTACAACTTGAAAACGACATTGAAATCTTAAATGACATTGGTGAAGCAGCTGAAGCTGAATCTGGACCAGCTAGTACGAGGAATGGTCTGTCTAGTCAAAATGGCAATGAGCAGATCATGTTTCTCATGTTGTGTCACAGCCACTCACTTCCTTTATACAGACCAAGTGAAAGTGTGAAACTTTTGTTTTTACTTGTTGAATCCCAATCAATGTTAGCAAGAAAATGAAACACACTGGTACAATTCTATAGACCTTTGTAACCCCACAGTAGTGATCGAAACCAGATGAGTAATCTTGAGTTACTCTTATGACAATTCAAACCCTCTTCCTTAATGTGGGTGAGATGCAATTGGTCATCTGTAAAACCAAGAAAACCAGTCCAACCAAACGCAACAAACCACATTTGGTTGCAACTCTACTTCTACTCAACATAGAACAAAATGCTTCCTTACCTCAGAAGAACATTACTACATAAGAAGCAAAAATCCATGAATCAGCTTACAGCACAAGACTGAAATGTCAAAGAAGCAGTTCACTTCATGTTCTGAAACTTAGAAACGTAATAAACATAAGATAAAATAAAATCTAATTTGAGGCCGTTCTAAAAAGCTCAAAAATGGCTGAAGTTGAAGTTGCAGCTAGAATGTCTTCATTGGATGAATTTGCTTTATTATATAAAAAAGGTTATTATGAAATTCTCTGTGGCATCCTTGAGGTATTTAGTTTCCTATTTGGTAGAATAATATTTTAAAGTCACGTGGTACTCTTGTACTTAAGAGGGCTGATTATACATAGTCTACCCAAATTTAAAAAAAAAAAAACTAATATGTTACCAAAATAGGGATAGTGGACAATAATATGACTTGATAACTTTGAATAACTACGTAGTATATTACATTGAAATTCTACGTCGTGGAAACTATAAAAGTATACTAGTTGTCACTTAAATCACATTTTCGTTCATAAATTTTATTTTTGCGATATTTTAGGAAAAATCTCAATTTGAAAACTAACTTTGGGTTCCCATTGCAGATTCATTTTCTTTTACAATTTTAATCCTAGTTAACTTTATAAAATTTGAAAATGCTAAGCATTACAAATGAAAAATAAAGGACTAAACTTTTAGCATTTGACAATTTTCATTGTTGTTGCTTTTAAATTTAATTTAATCAATTCTCATTTTTGTTGCTTTTAAATTTAATTTTATAAATTTACCATCTCAACATCTTTTAACTTGATCTCTAGTTTAAAATTTAAATGATACTTCCTTACAAATTTGTATGGAGTAATTTTTAGTTGTTCTAATATTAAATCGCACATATTATTATATCAGGTATGCAATAGGTCTCTATTGCCAAAACAAATTCCAATTGGAAGAGTGATTACAAGCCCATATAAGCATATAGTTATGGAATCAAACTTCCATTTAACCCAGAAAAAAATTGTGACAAAAAAACAATTGTTTATAAGTGCTATACGTTTTTTCACTTTTGATGCTTAAAATGTATAGAAATTGCCCTGAATAAGAGTAAAAACGTTTTAAAATTCCAAAATAGAACCTTCATGTTTTTATTCCCTATATAGGAGTAATTTTTGCAAAGTTCGAAAAAAACTACTGTGTTTAAAGTCTCATAATGTCAAACTTGACAGAAATTACTCCTATTTAAGGAATAAAATCATGGCAATCCTATTTTGGAATTTCAAAATGTTTATACTCCTATTTAGGGAATTTTCCCAAAAGTGTAACATTAGCATCTTTAGTGTAAATCATTGACTTTAGGGGAAGATTAAGAAAGAAAACAAATTTGTACTGTGAAACTTATAGTTAGTACAAATTTAGGGTAGAACATACTAAATTTGGGCGCATTGTGTGTACAAGGGAACCATATAGAATTTCCCTAGATTATTTAAACATACGTATTTAAGTAAATTAAAGGAAATGGCATGTACACTTGAAGGTAGAGGTATCAATTTCATCCAAACCGCTACCAAATGGGCTCTGAATGTGAACCATCTACTGGGCAAACACTGACCTGCAAGAAATTTATGCACATAAATCTTGCAATATTAATGGCCACCATCACTAGGGAAAAGCTCTTGAAGCTCTGGATTTGTTTCTCATCTCCCCTTAAGTTCACTCAGGTTTGTATTTGTGCCACTTTTGTATGCAAAAGCTCTTGGATATAGAACTCAAACAGCGAAAAACCATTATCTTTTAATCTCTAGAGTCAGGACTTCTCTGGTCCTCAGACAAATGGGGCTGCAGAATTAATCTTAGTTTTTCTTTTGCCCAGGTATACAATGCACTTTGCTTCCCTTCCAGAGCTTCAACCATGATAGTCAACTCACTCATATCATACCGATAAAAAAGACATCTTGAACTCCATTCACAAGAACAGAGCAGCTTGACATGACGAAGGCAAGTGTATTTGTCAGGTGAGCACGAACACCCAACCGCAGAAAGATGTAGATCATAGAAGCATACTATGCATTCTCTTTTGGTGCTGATGTCAACGTCATCCTCCATTACTTGTTTTTGAAGAGTAATGCACAGATACTTTTGTCTCACTTCTTCACTCTTAACTCGGGCCTATCCAAGTAAAACAATATACATATACAGTCTTGCAATGTGATCAAACTGATTGATGTCCTTACACATTAAGTAATGGCTGATGTCACAACTAACATACAAAATAATAAAAGATGGTATTGATATGTTCCATAAGCAGATCATATGGTATTGATATGTTCTATAAAGTAGGTCATTAGGAATGCAAACCAAACATTTGTCGAACTAGCGGCATATGCGCACAGTTTAATCATGTTTAATCAGAGAGCCAAACAAGGTGGCACCAAAGAAGTTTTGCTCTTCGTTTAGTAAATATGCAGAATTCAAACTGAGAAGCAATAGATCATTGAACAAGCTAGGAGTCGAATACAGCGATCATTTTAATGGGCCGATTCTGAAATTTTGAATTTTCTTCAACACACCATGAAAGAAGAACTCAATTAACACGGGGGTAGGCAATGCGTGGGATATAAGCCCTAGGATCAAGTGGAGCTGTGGAATCACTTTATGGGCACAGCTTAAAGCAGAACAAGTACCACTTATGCTCCTTTGATCCATTCAAATTCGCTTTAATGGACCAAATAAACACGGAATTACCATTTTTTGTCATTTTTGGACACCCACGGAAGGCTTTCCATCTTCCCTCAATGAAAACCATTAGTATTATTCTTCCTTGTTTTTTAATACCTAAAAGTAACTTAATTGATGTATTTAGTTTTAGAAAATATAATTAGATGTACGTGAATTATTTTACTTCGTTAATTCAATTAAACAAATCGATAGTTCCCAAAGTTCCATAAAGATTGTATAAAATGAAGTCCAAAATCTATTTTCAACTTCTTAAATATGAGATGTTCTTAATTGAAATATCAAATTATATATTTTAAAACTAAATACATTAATTAAGTTAGTTTATTGACACCAAAAAATGAAATGAAAACTAAGACTAATGATTTATATTGGCGGAAGATGAGAACCATGAGTAGTTAAAAATTATCAAATACTCCCTCCGTCCCAATTTGTAAGATACTTTACAGTTTACGATGTTTGACCGACGATAAAGCAAATTGATCCCTGTCAACACTCAAATTAGTTTTAGAAAATAAAATTTATATATTCAGAAACTACATTAAAACCGCTACAAAACCTGCAAAAAATAATTCAAATTTCATAAACTTTTGATATATAAAGTAAAAGATTAAGAATGATTTATGTTGACCAAGTGAATAGTAAATGTATCTTACAATTTCGGACTGAGGGAGTACATTAAAATCGTGCTTATTTGGTCGATTTGAAACCTTAGTGGCCAATATGCGATTCGTGTATAATCATAGTGTCCAATTTGTTCCTTCTCCCAACTTTAATAAATAACCTAGGTTAGGAGAAAATAAATTCACCTAAGCTAATGTGAATCTATAAAGCTGTTGTTTGAATAACATTAGCTCCAACTAAGTGAAATATGTTCTAACCTTGTTTGGTTAAGGTGAATTGAAATAATAAAAAATACTTCATATAAAATACTACCTCTGTCCCGATATATGAAGCCATCTTTAAAACTTTGACCAATTATATATTTTTTATTGGAAATTATATATAATATAAAAATGATATGAAAATGTTCTTTGTTAAAAGTACTTTCATAGAAGTATAAAATTTACAACTTCCATAATATTATACTAATCAAAATCATGGTCCAAACTTCAAGAGATGGCTAAGTATTTTAGGACGGAGGTAGTATGAGATTCACCCAATTACCCACGATTTAGGGGGTAGATAAAGACGAGTAAATTAGGTGAACGATTCACCTGGGTTAACTTAGGTCTTAGGATAATAATATCAAGTAAGTCATAAACCGAGTAAATGAAATTGTTTGCTTATATACACCTAGGTTCACCTGAATCAAAATAAAACGTAAAACAGTCATAAAAGCTAGAAGTTTACCTTGAGTGCTTTTGCCAAAATCCCATCCTTCCCGCAGAAGCAGGTCCATTGCAGATGATCAGAAGGGTCATTTACAAACAAACGTTCACACAGGGCCTTAATAGCTTCCCCAGCAGCTTTAAGCAACAGCTTATCATAAGAGATTGATGTCTTTCTATGGAAATCACTATATCGTTCCACAGCTAATTGACCATGAGGCAACCAATCATATGGAGCAAAGTTTACAGCCTCAGAACAGTTAAAGCCACAATCAAGTTGAGAGTGGTACGATCCAGGGAAAATAAGAACAAACTCCTTTGGATATTGTACACAACGATAAACAGGTATACCCTCTGATATCAAAGTTGAGGGGGGAATTTGAGTGGCCTGCAATGAATATGAGTTCAACTCTCCGGTACTGTAAACCTAAAACCTAAGTTCTAAACATTTTAAAAGTTTCGCATGAAGAAATAGTTACAGTTGTATAACTTGTATTGGAAATAAGGAAAGTGGAGCAAAGTTAATAGTCAATTTTTTTGTTTTATGGATGAATACCATCCAGTGTTAACCAGAAATATGAAATAAAAGATTAAACTTGACATCTTGGAAAAATACCTTCACTCAAAGATTCACAGGCCACACTTAACTTCTAAAGTACTTAGCATAGCTTAAGATTCTTAGCTTAAGCTGATACTACTCTCTATACCATTTTAGAAAGTCCAAAATTCGTTGGGTGTGGTGTACGGCAGAGGCATGTTGCCTAGCATAATAATGTAAAGCCGGATTTATAAACACCAAAGACCAAACTATGCTCCAAGACTTTCAAGCCCAACAGAAAATGTTCTTGTATTGTACAGATAGAAAATTAGAAACACAGGAGGTATATATAATATACTCACAACATTGAGAAGCGACCAAGGATGTTTAATTGATTCTGGAAACTGCTTCTTCACAATTTCCTCAAACTTGGGGCGATGCTGATGAGGAATGACATACCATACTCGTGGAGCACCCAAATGCATGTAACATACAGAGTACAGGTGGTGCTCTTCAATTTTCTGTCACATGAAAAGGGAAACAGAGACCAATCGAACCATCAAAGGTGTAATAGTAATAATAGATTCACACTCTGGACAGTTATTTAAACAGGTATCCTACAACACCAAAAAGGAACAAATTAAACAGAATTGAGAAGTTCAAGTTTTTGAAAATATTATATTAGACTTACCCAGAAACTTGATGAGAAGCACATTCCTATGACAAGCTGAGGATCCAAAATGGAGGAAGTGCTACAGGTTTCATAACGAAGAAGGGAACCTTGAAGCACAGGTGTATTTTTCAAGTTCCAGCCTGACTGTGTATAGACAGAACTCTTGGGCATCTTCAGTCCATTCCGTTTGGCTGTAAATTCGCTTTTAAAGACTCTAGCATCAAGATTAGCTGCACGGAACACCTATTGTACCATATGACTGCTAAGAAGTAAGTTCAACGATGGTAAAGTACTAGAAGATCACTCGAGTATGAAATGTCAACACCGCACCTCAAGTTTTTGAATGGGACTCTCGACTATTCGCCAATATTCCCCTTCTATATCCTGAATAGAAGGTTCCCATGACTTACTTGAAGCAGGTGAACTGACACTTCGATCAGTGTTGATGTTGCTCTTGCTGAAGTACTGGCTCTTAAAGTCGTCTGCATAATTCTTAAAGCTTTGGAGAGTGAATTCTGGTCCAGATTCAAACCTAAAGATGTCAGATTGGCAATCCACTACATTTGCTCCATTGAATGATCCCAAAATCAAATTTTTAATCGAACTTCGTTTCCTTTTACGCCTCATCTTCAAATGAGCTCTATGAAGCCTTTTCTTCATAAACAGATCCCCAAGTTCATCAATGTGCTGGATGTGGGTGACAAACTTAGAAGTTTCCCATGTTTTCTTTTCTTCAACTAAGGGTGGGGGTTGCCAGGACTTAGGAGGAACGATACGGCATATTCCATGTTCCTTTACACGTGAACGGATGCTTGCTACATAATTAAGCGTGTCTTTGAACTCCTGACATGAGATTTAAACTTATCTGGCTGGTATACAAAAAGTTTCATTCCTGATAGATGTTTCAATTACCAAAGGGGACAAGCAATGAACAGAAAGGGAATACCTCTTCAGTAGGGTGGAAAACAGGAGCTTCTTCAAGCAAAGGCATGTATGAATCTTCTGGATGCCACCTCGCAACAACCTTCATTATTTATAAAAAGCATAAAAGAAATTCATAGCAGATGGAGTTAGGGCACGCCCTGTTGACAACATACAGATACACAAAAAGCAATTCACAACTTAGGAACAAACATGCAATTATTTTTTAAAGGTTGTGAAAGTGTAAACTTAAACAACAAGAACCTTTAGGCAATCGGCACAGCTTGGACATCCTCGAACCACTCCGCTAGGAAGAAAAGGTCTCGAATACAAGCACTGCGTATGACAATTAATGTTGAAAACTATCAATTAGTTATAAAATAAAAGTATAAACCATGTTGAATGTCAAATGTAGATACTAAAGATTCCTCATTTCCTCTCACTTTATATCATCAGGAAATAATAAAACTACACTAGGGTAAAAGCAAAAACTAAAATCTCCCCAAATGACCTCAAAACCGTCGTCGGAATCATATTTCAGCTCTTTCTCGGAGTGGCCATCTACTATCCAGGGTCTACTCTTCGTAGCATATTGTTTATGCAAGTCCGCATTAAAGACGCTCGGGATGGAATCAGACAGGGTTGAACACTTCTCGGATTCTTCCACAGGGAGAGGAGAATCTTGAACTGTTTCTACCTTTTTAAGCAAGAAGGATGTTGACGGCACGAAACCGGGCGGAACTAGACTGTCTTGCATCACGAATCAATGGGGTAAAAAAGGGAAATGAGTTGAACAAAGCACTGGCAAGCTTGGGATGTTCTTCTGATAAGAGTTCATACCTGGACCACATATTACTGTACCTGAAGTTTTCAGTTTTATTACGTGTTTCTTTCCCAAAGTTGTTTGAAACTACCTCCTTCCGGCCATATGATTGTTCCATTTTACCTTATCGGTCCGTCCCACTAAGATTGTCACATACTAAATTTGATAAAGTTTGTGTGGCTCTAAATCATTCTTACTTTATTCTTACTTTATCAATTCAATATAAACCACATAAACCACTTTTTATTAATTTGTGTGTCACTCCCTCTTGTCCCATTGTTAGCGGGACGGAGGGAGTATTACTTTCGGCAGCGAAATATCGTTTGGAAGATACATATTCCCCGCCACTTTCAGTCGGGCGTTCTTGTGTGCTAAGAAGAGATTTGCACCGATCTCTTCATCAATCAAACACATGATTTTCTTCTGCGACGATATTTTGTAAGAAACCCCCTCCCTCCGGGCGAAGAGAGGCCTGTGATCCACAACTCCATGATGATGGGGGGATCTGGTGATGGTGATGCCGAGACTGCCATCGGGGAGGAGGTCACCTCGAAGCCTGCCGAGGAGGCAACAGCTGAATGAAACCTTTGTACTTAGTAGCTTTTGAACACCTCTTTTCTTTGTTTGTAATGAATATTGTACGCCCTCGGCCTCGCCCCATTTGTAATATACATTTGAATTTTCCTTTCTTCGATGAATGAATACCTGTCTTCGGGCTTTTTGTGTATGACCCGTTCCTTTTAATTGTTTTTCTTTGAATGTATGCCCTCGTCTTTTCTGTATGTACGCCTTCGCCTTTTCTGTATGTATGCATGTTAGGACTTAGAAAATATCTCTCTAAGTACAGTGTCTTTTGTAGCCCTCGGCTACTAGGCCTATTTAGTCACCTGAACATTTCGCCGAGGGCCCAACGTTCAGGACTTAGAAATTTTTCTGAGTGTTGTTCATCTGTTGGCCCCCGGGTAATCCCTTCCCTCTGGTTCTGTGTAGCCTTCATGAGATAACCAGAGGCAAGGTGCTTAGGACTTAGAAAATTTTCCTAAGTGTTTGGACATTGTCTAGCCTTCGGTGCGTGGGTATATAACCGAGGGCTCAAAATATTTGGGACTTAGAAAATTTTTCTAAGTGTAGCTTCACCAAGCCTTCAACCGTGTGGCCCCTCTGACTGCATGGAGATTTGACCGAGGGCCAAAATATGTAGGACTTAAAAAATATTTCTCAGTTTAGTTGTGTGAGGTAGGAGCCCTCGGGTGAAATGTGAGAGCTTTGTCGTAGGTGTACCCTCGGTTGAATGGTGACTCGTCAGAGGGCAGAGTGAAAATATTTCCTGTCACTGGCCTTCGGGCGGGGATCCTTCGGCTGTATATGTTGTAGGTTTAGGATAGTTTCCCTTGCCTTGTAAAGTTGGCCTGCGATAACAAAAGCCTTCGGCTGTTTATTATGTTCCCCCAATGTTGATATAGGAGAGTTTGTAATCCAAGCCTAGCATGAAAAGGCAGACTCCCTCGGGAATTGTCTGGATGTATCCCCTTGGTATGTAGTGAGGTGCCAGAGGTGATTCTTGATTTGGTTTGGCCATCATATGGTAGTTTTGTTATATAGTAGCCTTCAGGGACATTTTGAGTTGTTATTGGATGAGCCTGTCATGTTGTGTAGTATTTGAGCCTTCGGTTTTAGGTATAGCCGGAGGCAATCATTGAGTGGACTTAGCCATTAGTTGATGATGTCTGTTGTGAATGGTATCCTTGGTACTCATGAGCTTCTAGGTACCGAAGGCGTCCCCATGGGGAGCCCTCAGTATGTTTCCGTGAGTTGTTGGAGTGATGTACTCATTGATTTCTCGCCGAGTCTACTCCCCTTCACCACCCCATTTTTTTTAAGTAGTGAAGGGAAGGCTTCAAGAAACTTGGTTTCTTGGTAAGGCTTGGCCTCTCGGGAGGTAACAGAATACACCATTAGCTCCCGCCTCGGGTTAACCTTCCGAGTTCCGAGGGGATCGAGGGTCGTTTCCTGGGTACAAGATATGGTGGTCTGTAGCCTGCCTCCCCTTTGGGGGATGGCACGGAAAGCGCCTCAGTTTTGAAAGTCGTCCCCTCGGCGCTAGACATAGTCCGTGGCCTGCCACACCCTTGGGGGTGTGGCGCGGGGAGCGTTTCGATTTGGAAGTCGAATCCTGGGCATTTCAGATGCATGCCAATCCCTTAGGGAAATGGCGCGGAAAGCGTTCCGTTTTTGAAAGTCGAATCCTGGGCATATTTCGTGTCTGTCATACCCTTGGGGTAATGACGCGGAAAGCGTTTCAGGGAAGGGTTTTCAGTTGCACACTGGTTGCAAATGGCCGGGGGCACAACGTGCTGCCGGCACCGAGAGGTGGCGCCTTCGGTATAGGCGTCCTCGAGGGGTACGGCTTTAGAAACAGCACTTGGTGTTTGTTTCGGTGTACGGCTCCCGGTACTTGGTACCGAGGGGTCTTCTGTGAAAACACTGTGTTTTTTCTTCATTTGTCACAGGTGATTGTGTTGTCTACCCTCGGTACTTGGTACCGAGGGGTCTTCTGTGGAAACACTTGGTATTTTTCCTTTATTTATCGCAGGTGATTGTGTCGTTTACCCTCGGTACTTGGTACCGAGGGGTCTTCTGTGGAAACACTTGGTGTTTCTTCCCATTCGTTGAAAGCTGTCAGTGGTGTGTCCCCCCGGCACCGGGTGCCGAGGGGTCTCCATTTGAGGACAGTTGGTACTTTCTTGTTGTTGTAGGTGATAGTATTGTCTACCCTCGGCACATGGTGCCGAGGGCTCTTCCTTGGGGTAAGGCCTTGGGCCAGGGGGTGATATGAGGGCTTGGCCCTTCGTAAGAATCATGTTCCATGTTCTTGGTGTCTTCAAAATGCCTTCGTTCTTTAGAATTTTTAGGCCTTGGGCCGTGAAATAATACATTCACTAGTTATGAGGGCTTGGCCGCTCTGATGTTATTGATAAAATTTAACTAAGTGATGTACATTCCAGTTCCTAGGGACTTCAGTCCCATTAGGGCGTTTTAGTTTGTAAGTTCCTGGTTTGATGATGGCTGCCACGATGTAGGGGCCCTCGAACTTTGGTGCCATCTTTCCGCCCTCGGTTGGTTGGCTAGCTTCCCTTCTTCGGAGGACATAGTCCCCCACTTGGAATTCCCGGGAGTGGACCTTGGCGTCAATGTAACTCTTCACTTGCCTTCGGTAGTTTTCTGCGCGTATGAAGGCTTGCTCTCGACGTTCTGAAATAAGGTGGAGGTCGAGGGCCATATTGGCGTCATTGGCCTCTCGATCATACTGTGTGACCCTTCGGGTTGGAAGAGTTACCTCAGTGGGGGCCTTAGCTTCAAATCCGTAGCAAAGGGAGAAGGGTGTCTCGCCAATTGCCCGCCGAGGGGTGGTACGGTAGGCCCATAAGATGTTGTGGAGCTCTTCCACCCAACCACCCCATTCGGTCTCCAGTTTCTTCTTTAGGCCCTCGAGCAAGGTCCTGTTGGCGTTCTCCACCTGTCCGTTGCCCTGGGGGTAGGCAACGGATGAGAAGGTGTGTGTGATGCCCCATGCCTCCAGGAGGGCACAGAAGGGGCTGCCTCAAACTGAGTCCCATTGTCGGAGATGATTTGTTGGGGGACGCCAAACCTTGTGAGGATGTTTTTGAGAACAAAGTGACGGCACCTGGCCTCAGTAATGCTGGCGAGGGGCTCAGCTTCCACCCATTTGGTGAAGTAATCGATGGCGACGATGATGTACCAGTTGTTGGAGGTACCCCTCGGCAGAGGGCCCACAAGGTCTATGCCCCATCGAGCGAAGGGTATGGATGTGCTGACGGGGGCGTAGTTGACCGCTGGCCTGTCGGGGGCTTTCTGGAAGTGTTGGCATGCGGAACACCTCCGGGCAAGATCTGCACAATCCCGGGCCATCGTAGGCCTGAAGTAGCCCTGGATTATTAGCCTTCAGGAGAAGGGTCCCTGGTGAGCTGAGCAAGTGCCACTGTGCACTTCCTCCATCGCCACTTCGGCTTCATCTTGATGAAGGCACCGAAGTAATGTCCCGTTGTAGGACCTTTTGTAAAGCCTCCCGTCCTCGATAGCGTAGCTGGGAGCCCTCAGCTTTGCCAGCTTGGCGCGGGCCTCATCCTCGGGCAGTTGCCCCGTGGTGATGAAGGCGACAATGTCTGAGATCCAGTCACCTTGCCTTTGTTGTATGTTCATGACGGGGCTAGCATGTATGCTAGAGAGGCTGAGTTCTTCCACTGTGGCAATCTTCGAGATGTGCTCAGGGGATTCTGTCGAGAGTTTTGATAAAATGTCAGCCTCAGAGTTTTGAGCCCTCGGTATTTGAGTAAGAGAGTGTGCCTCAAATACCTTAAGCAACTCCTTGGCCGCCTCCTTGTATTGCTTCATTCTCCCTTCCTTGGCTTCGTACTCCCCGGAGATTTGGCCGACGACTAACTTGGAGTCGCACTTGACGTGAATTTGCCGGGCTTTCATGTTAGCTGCCAGCCGAAGGCCACAAAGGAGGGCCTCGTATTCGGCTTCATTGTTAGAGACTTTGAAGGAGAAGCGGACTGCATAATAGGCCCGGAAGCCTTCGGGTGAGATGAGAACCACCCCTCCTCCACATGCTTTGACGGCGGAGGAGCCGTCGGTGTAGAGGGTCCACCAATCATCTGAAGAGGTCGAGGGCTCCTCGTCCGTGGCCGATCTTGCCGTACATTCCGTCACGAAGTCCGCTAGGGCTTGGCCCTTGATGGCGGGCCTAGGACGGATGTCGATGTTGTATTGGCTCAAGAAGACAGCCCATTTTACCATTCGGGAGGAGCTGGTGGGGCTCCTCATCAAGGCGCCGAGGGGTTGGTGAGTGAGAACCTGGACCGGGTGAGCTTGGAAGTAATGGCCCAACTTCTTGACGGTCCACACGATAGCCAACATCGTTTTTTCCACAGGGGAGTACCGGAGCTCCGCTTCCTTGAGGATCTTGCTAACATAGAAGACGGCATGTTGGATGCC